CCCCAAAACCCCAAAACCCCAAAACCCCAAAACCCCTTATTATCTCCTAATTTTTGAAAATGTAATTAATTTTTATTAGAGATTTTGAGAAATGGCTCAAAGGTAACGGATAATAGACCAGATTCATGAAAGTTCATCAAAAATATTGATTATTAAGCAAATTTAGTCAAAGTTACAAGTTTATTTTTCAACTCCAACCTCTAGAGTGCTGCTAACTAGTAGTTGACCGTTGCCTTAGATACTCAAGCGCATCTCTAATTAGTAAGGATAGAGAGTTGTTCGAAATGGCTCAGAATTTGAAGCAGAAGATCAGGAAAATCCAGCGAAAAGTATGCATCCTCCCTTCTCGTCAGTTCTCTAACCAGAGTCTCTAGACTATCAGTAGCAAGAAATTATCTCTAAAGCCAGCAATTTTACAGAGAAACTGGCATAAAGTTGGCAAGTCCTTGCCTCGAAGAGATTCCGAGTCTAAGCGATCTGCGAGAGACAAAGCTATTTCTGACAAAATCTTTGTTGAAAAATAACTCTGTGATGTCTGAAGATGTGAAAGAAATCAAGAAACGCAGGAAGAGAGCAGACAGAGTCAACGATAATCTTGTCTATCATCAGTTCAAAATCGGTAGCTTTGACTAGGAATGATCGGTATAGAGCAACATGAGCTGAAGAGTACCCAGAACCAGCCTCCTCAGACACGGTCTTCGCCTTCTAGAGCGATTAGTGACCAAAGCTCTGAAGTCAAGGCTAATTTTTACAAAGATGATTATATTGATTTTACCAATTCATTTGATATTAAGGTATGATTTACTGTGAGCATCCTTAGGCTAAGGCTAAGATCAAAGATCTTAAGAGAAAGTCTAAGAGGAATAACAACGACTTGATCTTCGATTCAGTGATGCATCCCAGCCAGAAAGGCATCCAACAATTGTTCACTCCTGTGAAGAGGGACAGGAAGAAGTTGCAAAGGCCAGATTATCACAACAAGATTATATACTCTACTGCTTCAAAATTGAGAAATAAGATCAATACCAAGATTAACCTGAAAGAGGCAGCTGTTCTAGGGAATACCCAAAAGATTTAGAAAGAAGGGCTCTGCTCTAAAGGCTCCTTCTGTCAGGAAGAAGCCCATTGGGTATACCCTGCTTAAGAAATTTACTCCCAGGAAGGTCAAAGTAGAACTCAGTTCTACTTTTGTGAACACTTTAGGGAAGCAGAGCTCCTTAAAAAGTTTCCAGAGGAAGTCATTTATAAAGAAGAAACTTCTCAAGGAGAAGTCTCTCAAGAAGACCTCAAGGAAGTCACAGTCGAGGCTTGGTACTTTGTTTAGGAAATATGGGAATTGATATAAAGAGGACTCGAAGTATCTGGATGGAGACCATCGTCTGTACCGAACCAAGCCTTCATAAATTTCAACCACTTTCCTATCTTGGGGTTTTGGGGTTTTGGGGTTTTGGGGTTTTGGGGTTTTGGGGTTTTGGGG